ATTCTCAATACCTATATAAGTCTCCGAAAGTTTAATTCCAATTTAGAAACAAAAAACATACTCTTATCTCATATCTAGCTATTTTCTTCTGATTACGTCTTCAAAAGACTCAAAAAATAATAAAATAGGGATGTATATTAATAAAATTAAATTATGTATTTCAATTCACAATAGGAAGAAGGTATGTTTGAGATTTTTAGATTAAATTAAAGATGCTAATGAATACATTACAATTGAAATTTTTAAAGAACAAAACTTTTTGGTTTTATTGGATAATACTCAGATTATGAAACCAAAAAACATTCTTATAATATATTTAACAAGGAGAATATAAAACAAATCAATAAGAAATAAATACCATCAAAAAATATTTAATTTCACAAAAAATTTAATTCATGAATTCTATTACATTAGTCTAAAAGCAATAAATACTTTTTTTTTTTAAATATTGAGAAACAGAATAGAATATATGATAGAGGCATCAAATGTTCTGATTTTTATGGTGAAACTAATCTTGAGTGCAAATAATAGATGGGTGAACGTATAACTAAAGGTAATATTTTCATCTTTGGAGATACTTGTGTAAAACACTCCTTTAATATGCTGACGCAGAAAAAGATGAATTTACATGTAAATCAAATCAATCTTATTATTAGAATATAAATAAATGTATTGATTAAATTTTTTAAACCTTTTCAGCTGATTTAAATTTTAATTCAATACTATGTTTTGATGGTATATTTCAAACTAATTTCTTTTCCTAATACTAAATACAACATATGCCTATTCAAAATTTTAAAGTTTCTCCATTTACAATAGTAATTAATACTAAATATATGTAAATTATAGAAGATATAAGGAATTTACAATGTAAATTCTGATGTTAGGTTAAAAAAAAAAGTTTAGAATAAAAAATTGAATAAAATATAATCCATTTTTTTCAAACTTAAATTTTGTTTTATGATCATAATTAGAATTTCTATGCAAAAAAACTTTTTTATATGTAAATTCAACCAAATTTATGGTAAAAGCCCATAGATAAAAATATAATGAATTATAATGAGTAAAGAGTGATCTTGAATTCCAAAAAAAATCTACTTTGTTGTAATGGGATAACATTATCTTTCCCAAGACCATAATTATTTTCAATAAAATCCATCTTAATTATAAGAATAAGGCTTAACACAGATCTCCTTTTTGAATATGTTCATAGGGAATTACAATTACCTGACAAGCTTCAAAAAGAAAAGTTAAATCACACGTCTGTATTAAAATCGTTTTACTTTGTGAATTTT